CCTCCCTCCAGTTGTAGGCAGTAGGTGATGGGGCCGCCCTCCCTTGTCTGTGCCCCTGGTGGCTTCTGTATCTGTCTGGAAAGTGCGTGTGTTTCATTTATGCATCTGGGTGAAATATAAGACACAGATGTCTTCACACGTACCTATTGCTTCCTGTGGAGCTTAGTTTTTGTTGTTGTTGTTTGTTTTTGACAGGACCTCACTCTGTTGCCCAGGCAGGAGTGCAGTGGCAGGATCTCAGCTCACTGCAGCCTCAGCCTCCTGGGCTCATGCAGTCCTCCTGCCTCAGCCTCCCAGGTGGCCGCGACCACAGGTGTGCACCACCATACCTGCCCAACTTTTGCTTATTTTTTGTAGAGATGTGGTGTTGCTCTGCTGCCCAGGCTGGTCTCAAACTCTTAGGCTCAAGCAGTCTACCGCGTTGGCCTCCCAAAATGTTGGGATTACAGGCATGGGCCACTTACACCTGGCCTGAAATGTAGTTTTTATTTTTATTTATTTATTTTTTTGAGACAGAGTTTCGCTCTTGTTACCCAGGCTGGAGTGCAATGGCGCGACCTTGGCTCACCGCAACCTCCGCCTCCTGGGTTCAGGCAATTCTCCTGCCTCAGCCTCCTGAGCAGCTGGGATTACAGGCACGTGCCACCATGCACAGCTAAGTTTTTGTATTTTTAGTAGAGACAGCATTTCACCATGTTGACCAGGATGGTCTCGATCAGTTGACCTCGTGATCCACCCGCCTCGGCCTCCCAAAGTGCTGGGATTACAGGCGTGAGCCACCGCGCCCAGCCCCTGTAGTTTTTAAGTAATCAAATACTTGGAAGAGAAGAATACCATTTATTATGGGAAATCAAGACTCAGTTCCCAGTCTCCATTCATTTCTCTCCTTCCCCTTCAAAAATGTAGACATATAAACCCACAGTAGAGCATGTGGATTAATATTTTGTCAGGATCAAACCTTTTTATTTTCCTCAAATAATTATTATATTCTGCCATTCTAGTAAATTTATAGCAAATCCAAGCCTAGTCTTTATCTTTGAAATCTGAGTACCTACCGTTGCCGGAAAAAAAAAAAAAAAAAGACATTGTTTTCTTGAAAATAAGTTGGAAAAAAAAAAGTTGAAAGTGTATTTCTGAATTACTTACTACTACTTTGGTTGTTAATGAAGAACTACCTTGAGATGACTTAAACACAGAAAATGGAAATTGATCCTCACAGTATGGGGGTGTCTCAAACACACAGCGGGGAACACAGCTGTGGATGGTGAGGTTCTGTGAGCCAGGCCTGTGTGCTCAGACACCCTGTCTGTTTTCCTCCTGGGCCAGCTCTTCGGTGCCTGCGTTCTTCCCTTCATTTGCAGACCTGCGAGCTTGGTCTAAAAAAAAAAAAAAAAAAAAAAGTACCTAGCATAGGGCTCAGCACCACCTGAAAGGCAGTCCGTGAAACATACTGGCAATGTGAAGTATTGTTAGTGACATGATGCCGCTTCCAGAGTGACACCAGCCTAGCTCCGACCCAGGTCCACTTGCTTCCAGGAACACTGGGATTTGGGCTGCAGATCACCTTGTTTTGCAAGAGCCACTGTGCTGTGCCATCAGCCCTCTCGCCTGCCAGTGCTCCTTGGCCAAGTACAGTTCTCTCTGACTGCCATGCAACCAGGACCGGGAGCTTAGGTGCTTCTTACTGGAAACAGAAGGAAAACTATTGCATGATGGGAAGAAGGCGCCGACCTGAGGCTGTTGCCCCCAAATTATTGCAGAATCACAGCTCAACTGAGGACTTTCTGGTACTGTGTACCTCAGAGATTTCAAATTTCATGATTATAGTAGCCATTTTGCACAAAAGCAGCCTAAACACAACCAATTGAAAACACAGCCATACAGATACTGTATGTGCCACACACACACATGCATGTCAGCCACACACATGCATGTCAGCCACACACATACCATATGTATCACACACACATCGTATATACCACACACATGCATGTCAGCCACACACATACCTTATATACCACACACATATCGTATATACCACACATATTGTATATACCACACACATACCGTATATACCACACACATATCGTATATACCACACACATGCATGTCAGCCACACACATACCGTATATACCACACATGCATATCAGCCACATACATACTGTATATACCACACACATGCATGTCAGCCACACACATACTGTATGTGTCACACACACATCGTATATACAACACACTTGCATGTCAGCCACACACATACCGTATATACCACACACATACCGTATATACCACACACATATCGTATATACCACACATATCGTATATACCACACACATACCGTATATACCACACACATACCGTATATACCACACACATATCGTATATACCACACACATGCATGTCAGCCACACACATACCGTATATACCACACACATACCGTATATACCACACACATATCGTATATACCACACATATCGTATATACCACACACATGCATGTCAGCCACACACATACCGTATATACCACACACATACCGTATATACCACACACATACTGTATATACCACACACATGCATTTCAGCCACACACATACCGTATATACCACACACATACCGTATATACCACACACATATCGTGTATACCACACATATCGTGTATACCACACACATACCGTATATACCACACACATACCGTATATACCACACACATATCGTATATACCACACACATATCGTATATACCACACACATATCGTATATACCACACACATGCATGTCAGCCACACACATACCGTATATACCACACACATATCGTATATACCACACACACATGCATGTTAGCCACACACATACTGTATATACCACACACATATCGTATATACCACACACATGCATGTCAGCCACACACATACCGTATGTATCACACACACATCGTATATACAACACACTTGCATGTCAGCCTCACACATACCGTATGTATCACACACACATTGTATATACCACACACATGCATGTCAGCCACACACATACTGTATACACCACACACATATCATATATACCACACACACACATGCATGTCAGCCACACACATACTGTATATACCACACACATATCGTATATACCACACACATGCATGTCGGCCACACACATACTGTATATACACACACACGCATATCAGCCACACACATACCGTATATACCACACACGCATGTCAGCTACACACATACCGTATATACCACACATGCATATCAGCCACATACATACTGTATATACCACACACATGCTTGTCAGCCACACACATACCATATATACCACACACATGCATGTTGGCTACACACATCCTGTATATACCACGCACACACACATATATCAGCCAACACATACTGTATATACCACACACACCGTATATACCACACATACGCATGTCAGCCACACATATACTGTATATACCACACACATGCATGTCAGCTACACACATACCATATATACCACACACACATGCATGTCAGCCACATACATACTGTATATATCACACACATACTGTATATACCACACACATACATGCATTTCAGCCACACACATACCAGATATACCACACACATGCATATCAGCCACACACATACCATATATACCACACACACACACGTCAGCCACACACAGATGATTTGCCTAGAAATTTGTTTCTGCCAGACCTTTTGGCAGAATGGCTATTTGTCATTGGAGAGGGAGAAAAATGTTTGTGTTTTTAATAGGAAGAGTTTATGGTTGTGAATAAGCCCATGTTTGAAAAAACGGTAATACAGATACATGGTTGCTGGCACTACACAATTGCAAGGTGTAATAGCAGTGGCTTCTCACATTAAACATGGCTTAAAATTACATGCCTTCTAGAAATGGGTACATTTGTCTCACTTTTAATTATCCATGGTGAAAGGATTTGTTGTTTATAATCAATAAAATAATCACTATATTATTTTAACGCTTTTATTTTATATGTGTATATATATTTATTGCATTTTATGTTCTGGGGTACATGTAAAGAACATGCAGGATTGTTGCATAGGTACTTACGTGGCAATGTGATTTGCTGTCTGCATCCACATCACCTATATTTGGCATTTCTCCCCGTGTTATCCCTCCCCAACTCCCGACCCCCAACTGTCCCTCCCTTAGTCTCTCCCTACAGCCCTCAGTGTGTGATGCTCCCCTCCCTGTGTCCATGTGTTCTCATTGTTCAATACCCGCCTATGAGTGAGAACATGCGTTTTGATGTTTGGTGTTTGATTTTTTGTTCTTGTGTCAGTTTGCTGAGAATGATGGCTTCCAGGTTCATCTGTGTCCCTACATAGGACACAAATTCATCGTTTTTTTAATGGCTGCATAGTATTCCATGGTGTAGGCATTTGGGTTGGTTCCAGGTCTTTGTTATTGTAAACAGTGCTGCAGTGAACCTACGTGTGCATGTGTCCTTATAGTAGAATGATTTATAGTCCTTTGGATATATACCCAGTAATGGGATTGCTGGGTCAAATGGAATTTCTATTTCTAGGTCCTTGAGGAATCTCCACACTGTCTTCCACAATGGTTGAACTAATTTATACTCCCACCAACAGTGTAAAAGTGTTTCTGTTTCTCCATATCCTCTCCAGCATCTGTTGTCTCCAGATTTTTTAATGACCACCATTCTAACTGGCATGAGATGGTGTCTTGTTTTTTTTGGTTGGGAGTTAGGAGCAATTGCCACGTGCATATTTATGATAAGATTTCAGATTTGTTGCCACGGTTTTGTTAATCTGTTTAATCTGGTGTGCTCAGGTAATGGAATCAGAAAGGCAACTAAATTTTATTTAATATATGGTTCAGGTGGTTTCTATAATGAGAAATTCACATGGCTTTTTTTTTTTCTTTCTTTCTTTTTTTTTTTTTTTTTTTTTGGTGGAGTTTCACTCTTGTTACCCAGGCTGGAGTGCAATGGCATGATCTCGGCTCATCGCAACCTCCGCCTCCTGGGTTCAGGCAATTCTCCTGCCTCAGCCTCTCGAGTAGCTGGGATTACATGCGGCACCATGCCCAGCTAATTTTTCGTATTTTTAGTAGAGGTGGGGTTTCACCATGTTGACCAGGATGGTCTCGATCTCTTGACCTCGTGATCCACCCGCCTCGGCCTCCCAAAGTGCTGGGATTACAGGCGTGAGCCATCGCGCCCAGCCTGGCTTTTTTTTTCCTAATGAGTTTCCTGTTGGCTTCGGAGATGTGGTTATTTAAAATAGAAGTATTTATTTTTTTCCGTTTGAGACTTCCATTATTATAAGATCAACAATACACCGATTTTGTGCCTGTTAAATATTTTTAGCCTACTCCTAACACATGAAAATATTACATACCTGTTTTGATCTATATGTATTCTGTTCTTTCCGAGTTGTTTCATTTTAAGGGAAAATTCTTGAAGGCAACCTTTTAAGGTTTCTCTAATGGCACATCTCTGGTCATTAACTTTTTACTTTTAAAGGAGACAAGAAAAACAGATTGTAAAGACAAAGAGTAAATGTCTAGCTTATTCTGCTACTAGATTAGAAAAAAGTCTCCATTTACAGTTAACTGTATTCAGTCTTTAGAGGAAAATGTCTCTTCCATTCCAGAATTCAAGCCCCATAATTTAGTCTTCCTGTTGAGAGTCAACAATTTCTTCAAGCCTATATAAGGACGATAACTTCAAGAGCCAGAATTGAATTTAGTCATTTTTATATTTGTAACTAATACACATTTTGGAGTTTCATCACAACTTGAACTGTGTCTGAGGAGTTGCACATAAATCAGGGTTTTATTACTTGATTAAATGCAGTAGGAAAATTTTCTTTTAAGGTTTGACTAAAGAGTTAAGATAGTCCTTTATTTCATTTGTACATTGAAGTTTTGTATGATGGTGGCTTTGAAATGGCTTCTCAATTCCAGGTGGCTCTTGATTTTCTTCGTGTTTTCGTTTGCCGCTTGGAAGGGAAAAGTTCATGTTACTCTCATCCTTCATCACCCGGCCTTTCATGATGGAAGCCTCATTTTCATGAGGAAATCTTGGCACGCCTACGCCAGCTTGTGTATTTTGGCAGTATGGAAAAGCAAAACACGGTTCCTGCTGCTCCTTGTATAAGATTGTTTTGTAGTGAGTAACCTTGGCATTCGATGTTTTCACATTGAATGTATAACTGTCTGCAAGTGGTTATGAAGCTGAAATTGATGATCCGTCAGTTCACTTTGAAGCGTGTGATGGAATCATGATTTGACATTTTCCGGAAAGAGTTCATTTTTTAAAGGATGCCCTTAGCTTTTTTTCTACTGTCTTCAGACGGAAAAAAAAAATGGTTTACTATTTTCAGAAAAAAAGGTGATGTACTCACTGGTCTATTTTCTGTGCTCAAAATGTGTTGACCACCCCTGGTGTGTGTTTCTGAGCCTCCTTGGCAGCTTCTGCCTTCACAACTGTTCTCTTTTCAAATTCCTCTCTTTTCTCTTTCCCATTTGTGCTAGTAAAGACTCTTGGAAGCATCAGGCCCTGATGAGCTAGAGCTCATTCCAGGGGTGTGTGGGTGCTGTGTTTCCGACTTGAGCCATACAGCAAAGACTTTCTGACCTATTGGCCTCCATGGCTCATGGCTGCCTTCTGGACTATTATTTATGGTGGGCACTGAGGGATTCTGTTGGTTGGCCATGCGTTAATGCTCTGTGTTTTGAGGCTTTAACACAATAGTTGAAAATTCTTGGCCAAATTGGATAGAGAATGTGAAATAGATACTGTAGAGGGATTTCAGGACACTCTGTTGTGAACCATGGGAATATAATGAAGATTTCCCAGACCAATTGGTAGCTAGTCCGTAAGGAAGACTTGTGGAAATAAACCTTGAATAATACGGTTTATGCATTTGTTGCTGGAGTAGAAGAATTTATTTTGTTTCTGTTTCCGCAGCCTGTCTGTCTTTCTATGAGTAGTTCCAGTTTTCACATCATTGGATTCATCTTTACACTCAACTTACTACTAACTCGGTTAATAAAACTACTGTGTTTTCCTTTTCTTTTTTCGTCTTTGTCACAGCTCTCTATCTCTTTTGTTCTGTTTCTGGTACTCGATTATCTGTATGACATTCCTGAAACTGCACGCTCCTGCCTGAACTCCCCAGCTTGCTGATTAAATTTAGGTTAGGCTGATGATCTCAGGAGTAAACCATCTCACCAGCACTGGTCCAGTTCTTCACTGGTGAAGCAATGGTGGCGTCTGGGTTGAGAGTCACAGACTGAAGTCTGGGAGAAATGCTGGTCTTCCCTGTCTTGCTAATCTACGTTGTGCTGGAACCCAGAATCAGGTTCCTAAATTTCAGATTACACAGGCGTGGCACAAGGCATTGAGAAATCCGAGAGTCACATACTTCTCAAACACATACTCAAGGTTCCTGAAGAATATCTATCACAATGTTTATAGCTTGTCCAGTTTGATCTTCATGGAGCTATCATAAGAAAGTCTTTGAAGCGGAGGCCAGAGAAGAGACAAGGGCACGAGCGTCGGATAGTTACGGCCATGCCTTTCTTGGACATGCAGAAAATGTTCGGCATTAACCTAAATCGGTGGTGGACAATCCAAAGTGCTGACCAGTCCTACAAGTTTCCTGCTCGATGCCAGGCTTTTGAAAAAGAATGGCTAGAATGTGCACATGGAATTGGTACTATCTGGGCAGAGAAAGAGTGCAAGATAGAATATGATGATTTCATAGAGTGTATACTTCGGAAAAAAATGATGAAATGTATGGATACCATCTGGAGGCCACGGGAAAAACTGATGAAGGAAGGGAAGTCCACCCCTCCACCTCACCACATGGGCAAGGGGGAGCCTCGGCCCTGAGCAGACACAGCTACTGATATCTGGAGGCCGATTTTCATGTTCTCTGTTCTCCACTGGAAAGGTTGTTTATGGAAAACCTCCTTGTCAAAGTGTGTAAAAATAAAGTATTGCTCCACCCTAAAAAAAAAAAAAGTCTTTGTGACTGAGGATTTGGTAAAATGCAGCATGATGGTGAGAGTTATATCTCGTGTTTAAAACAAAACAAAACCTGAAACCACCTGGGCCTGAAAGAGGCACCGTGTTCCCCAGACGCTGCAGCAGCCACAGGGCATTTTAGCAGAGAAAACAAAGCTTGTTTTATAGCTGCTCTTCATAGCTCTCCCTGACAGGCTGAGAGGCACATTGAGTAAAAATGGAGCTGTTAACGATATAATAAATGCTTTTGAAATTTTCCTATTGGGCAATCCCTCAACAGCTGACTGCTTTGAAAAATGAATGAAAATCAAACATAAAGACACACATGGCTTCATCTACTTGGTAATGAATCAACATATGCAAAAGGACATTCAGTTGCAGGTGTGTGCCTGTCTATAGTGTTTGGTTTCTGGTTTTGTTCCAAGCAATTAATAAACCAGACTGGCCTATAACATCGTTCAGGAAACGTTCTTTTTCACCGGCTCAGACTTGGAGATTTAGCCTTTCCTGCTTTCTTTTCTTTTCTTGTTTTAGTTAAAAACAAACAAAAAACCCACATACATACAATTTACCACCTTCACCGTGTTTAAGCATACGGTTCATCAGCATTTCGTAAATTCACATTGCTGTGAAACGGAGGTCCACAATTTTCCTCCTGCAATCTGAAACCCTATTCCTACTCATCAACTTCCCATTTCCCCCTCCCTTGGCCCCTGGCAGTCACCACTCTGCTTCCTGTTTCTGTGAATCTGTTGCCTGATTTCTTTTACACACGTTAGGGGTTCCTGCATCTCCTCTCCTGATTCAGTGCCATTTGGACTAATGATGCCTTTAGGGAGGAGAGAACAATATGTAATTTTCACAGTGGTTTTTGTAAAATAGAGTACCTGGTATGTACCAACTAGGGTGTGCAGCTCTAAGAAACTTTTCTGTTGGCATCATTCTTTAAAATATGTGAAAGTCATCTAACATGGTGAAGGAGTTAGATGGTGAAGGCAGATCGAAGCTTTGAAAACTAGATCATTTTGCTGCCTGCATCAGCTAGCACTGAGTCTCAGCTATCCAATTCCTGGGCAAACGTCTGAACTCTCTGCTTTTAGGGCATGTTTAATTCTGGATAGATGACAGATTCTTTGTTTCCAAAAATGGGCTTATTGTCCTTTGGTATTTTAATTTGATTTGTTTAGAGCACGCTCATAACTTTTTATAAAATTGGACCAAATGCATTTAATGAGTACATGCAATTGATAGAATACTGTCACTCTGAATATCCCTAACTCTCTGTGGAAGGAGACACACTCCATTTTCATTTGTGTAAATTCCTTGCTGTAGGTCACCACTGTGGATTCACATTTCGAATACTGTCAAATCATAGAAAGCTTAAAAAATACTTGTTTTTGTCAAGAGATCAAGACCATCCTGGTCAACGTGGTGAAACCCCGTCTCTACTAAAAATAGAAAACATTAGCTGGGCATGGTGGTGCGTGCCTGTAATCCCAGCTACTCAGGAGGCTGAGGCAGGAGAATCGCCTGAACCCAGGAGGCGGAGGTTGCGGTGAGCCGAGATTGCGCCATTGCACTCCAGCCTGGGTAATAAGAGCGAAACTCGGTCTCAAAAAAAAAAAAAAAAAAAAAAACTTGTTTTTAAAAATGGTTCTTATTGCTTGGCCTTGTTTTTTCAGAAACCTCTGTTTTTCAAGATGGCTTTTATGTTACTAAATTATAGTTTATCATTTGGTGGGATTTTCTTTAAAATGTGTCATCTATACCCGTGCTTTTTATTAGATACCTGTTTGCCTTCAGTTTTCAAAAAGCTAACTTTTTGCAGCTATGATGCCTATATGAAAGGGAGTTATCATGGAAACGGTGCTTGTTGGGATGGTCTGCTTCACGATAAGGCTTTATAACAAGGGGCTTAAACTGAGCAAAAAACTGAAAACCAGTGTGAGTTAACAATGAAATGTGCTAAATGCCAGGCTTCCTTCTCTTGGCCAGATTTTAAAACAGTCACGTGAGAGCAGCAAGGGTAACTGGTGAGTCAGTTGAAAGGGAACCGAAGTTTCTGATACCCTCCTTCCCTCTTGTCCAGGGTGGGGTGGGGGGTACATTCCAAGACCCCAGTGGATGCCTAAAGCCATGGATAGTACCAGGCCTGATTGCTGTCCATTGGGACAGGTTTCTGTTGTCAGCTGAAGAATGAGACAGTTTGCAAATTTGGAATGGAGCCTATGTTTCTCATGAAGTGTTGCAGCCTCAAAGCAGGAATTCTGACGGGATGGGAAGCCTAGCCTCAGGTCAGAAGCCAGAAACAGACACTTTCAAAGTAGAAAGAAGACAGAAATTTGTGCTGAATGAGGATGAGGTAATGGACATATTCAGTAAGCTATAGGAGGAGTCAAGAATATTCATGAAAGGAGAACCATGCCCACACAATTAAGATTCCTGGGTCCCATGTTCAAAACATGGCAGAGTTAGCCTGATGGCAGGGCAGAGTCTTCTGGCCTCTACTGTGGAAAGGTGAGCCGAGGACGGCCAGGCCATCTCTGCACACCCCCCACAGGCTGGTGTGGCGCTGCTTTGGTGTTGCATTGAAATCCCAAAAGGGAGGGGCGGTGTCAGGCTGTTGGTTGAAGTCCCAGGTGGAATCTTTGGAAAGAGGTGGCTTTTGTTCACTCTTAAGAAAGAAGCCTGTGTCCTTCAGCAAGGGTGGTGAGGGGGTGGGGAGTGTAACAAGGCTCCTCTGACCTCCCATCCCCTCACAGCCAGAGACACAGCTTTAAGGTTACCCTGGGCTCCCCTTGGCCAAGGGAAGGTCTGTTCAGTGGGTTGAGGGCCTTCGGCTTTCTTGCTGTTTATGTCTTCAACAAATGTAATTAATATCCCTGCCATCTTAACTAAGCATTTATCACACACTGTGGCCGTAACTTTTGCAGTTTGAGGTCTCACAGCAAAACCAGCATGCATTTCTTTTTCCTTCTTCACAATTTCCCAGATGGAAGATTCATTCTTACTGCAGGTCTCAGCATCCTCAGCACACGACTCTTTCCTCATTAAGTCAAGACCTTTTGCCCTTTGACTTAAAGGGAGCACTCTAAGGCTCACTTTGACGTATCCCAGTTGCCAGCATCACTACTGTTTGGGGCCTTTCGGAAGTAAAATAAGGGAGACTTGAACCGGCACTGCGGCGTCTCAAAAGGCGGTCTGCTCAGCCAAGTGGCAGCCTGGATCTGCTGGGCGAAGGGAGGAGTTATGTCCAGGGTGGGACAGAGAGGATCGAGAGAGATTAACTCACTAGTCAGAACAGCAGGAAATTCAGAACTTAGGGTTATTTCTGAAAATTTCTATTTAAAATTTTCGACTGAGATTGACCAAGGGTAACTGAAGCCACATGGAAAGCAAGACAGAGGATAAGGGAGGGGCCTCCTGAACTCCAGGAGCACCGAGTTCGGAAAAAGTCAACACATCAATGGAGTCATTTGTTTAATTTTTTCTTAAAAGCCACCTGCAGGATATTGTAGAAAGGGTGCGCTGCCAGTCACAGCTTGTGATGCGACACGTTCACTCTGCAAGTTCAAACTCCCCCAGATGTTTCTCTTCCTGCGTAACCGTCACGTGACTAGTTTTGTTGTGTGTTGTTGTAGAAGTGAACACATTTCCCTATCAAAAGAATGTCGTTCTCATTTTCTCTGTTTCCTTTAAGCATTTTCATGTAGTTGGCCTTTTGTTAGTGGTCAGCATTTATGGCTTTTTGCAGAAGGCATCTCTTTGAGTAACAATTTCTTGAAATAAAAAAATACATTCTCAGCTGGGTGCGATGGCTCATGCCTGTAATCCCAACACTTTTGGAGGCCGAGCTGAATGGATCACCTGAGGTCGGGAGTTCGAGACCAGCCTGACCAACATGGCAAAACCCCGTCTCTACTAAAAATATAAAAGTTAGCTGAACGTAGTGGCATGCTCCTGTAATCCCAGCTACTTGGGAGGCTGAGACAGGAGAATCACTTGAACCCGGAAGGCAGAGGCTGCAGTGAGCTGAGATTGCACCACTGCACTCCAGCCTGGGTGGCAGAGTGAGACTCTGTGGCTCTGGCTCTGGCTCTGGCTCTAGCTCTAGTGCATGATCTCTCTCTCGCTCTCCCTCTCTCTGTCTCTCTCTATACATATACACACACACACACACACACACACACACATATGTATGTAGGTATATATAGACACACACATACATATATCTATACACACACACACACACGTTTCTCTAATTGATTTTAGAATCTTGAACCCGGCTTATAGTTGCTTTTGTTGAAGACTGTGCTGTTATAGTCTCTTCATGGGAATTATGGTCTTAAAATTATTATTTTATTCATTCAGCAAATCTCTATCAGCACTTACTGTATACCTCATGTTGTTCTGGTGAACAAAGCAAGATCCTGTCTCGGGGGTGTGCCTTCCAGCAGAGAAGGATGGCAGCGTGAAAGGAACATTAGAAAATGACGCTGTCTTTGGGTGTTAGAAAGTGGTATGTGAAAGTGAGAAATAAACAGAAACAGAGAGCAGGATCAGGGATGGAGGTATGGGGCAAACTGTCCTTTCCAGAGTGCCCTTGGAATCACTGCCACTGTGGATCGGAATGAGTTCCTTAATTAAATCCTGGCCATCGATCAGCATCCCTTTCTGTTGCATTTGGCAGCGCTTACAGACTATGTTGTAAACAAAGCCGAACCATCTTGTTTGCCAGAGCTGTGGTTGATGAACACCTAAGGAACTGGTTGTGTGATACTCATATTTTTTAAAAATGTGTTTAGTTATTCAGAAATCTTGTAGTCCTTCTAGACTAAACTCAGTGTTGTTAGATATGCTTCACGTACTTTTGTTATATACTTATTTGTAAGTTTCTTTTTTCTGAATCGAGAATCTGTGTGTTTGTGCTTTGTCTTCCTCTGTCAAGTGGGAAGGGACTGCCATCCTTAGTGAACCTGTATCAATTTTTGCTTCTTAGTGGTTTCCTCATTAGTGGATCATGCAGACCCCATTTCCCACCTTTTTCCCCTTGTAGTCAGTATCTCATTCCCCAGTCACTCATCAGAAGACAGTGAATATAAGGGAAAGTTTAAGTTTTATTTTGCAGTGATTAAAGTACAGTGAGGTTTAAAAATACTAAAGGTGGAATTTTCATAGCTACCAAAAGTTGAAAATAACACAGAACATATTTCAGTGAAAAATGAAGCAAGGTGGGTAACTGACTTACCGAGTCCCTGCTGGATGGTAGCACTGGTGCTTAGTACTTTATGTATATTTCCTTCATTTAAGTCTCACAACCGCTCTTTTAGGAGATGTTGTCTTTCCAGTGTTCAGATGGGAAAGCCAGTGCCAAGGCAGGGCAGGAGACCTGCCTGAGCCACATGTGAGTGTGTATTGCAGGCACATTCAGGCACGTGAGGCTCTCTAGGTGTGGGGCCAGAGACATGTGAACCCCCGCCTTCCCCTATTCTGTGCTGTTCCCAAATCTCTCCCATGGTTTTGTACCTAACAGTAATAGCTTCATCTGTTGACAATGACATCAAAGTTCGGTTTCTCTCTGTCTTTATTTTTTTATTTTTTTGCCAATCAGTCTGAGCTTATAAGGTTGCTCAGGTTAGCCTTGAACTCATGACCTTGCCTCTGCAAGCGCCACGACCTCTGGCGGGAGCCACTTTGGACCCCTCTGTCTTTCTTTATAATGAAGATAACGTTTTATAGTGCTTGACTTTTCCACCCTCCCCACACCCACACCATTTACCAGTTCTTTTTGTAGATTGTCAGTATTTTCAGATATGCTTTCTTTCTGTTTTTATTGTGGTAAAATACACATAACATAACTTTACCATTTTAACCATCCTGAGTGTCCGATTCAGTGGTATTAAGTACATTTATACTGTTGCTGAGCCATCCCCGCTCTCCGGAGCTTTTTCATCTTCCCAAACTGAAACTCTGTCCCCATTAAACACTCACTCCCCACTGTCTGCCCCCCCTCCCCACCCCCACCCCTAAGCACCATCCTCCTCTCTGTATCTATTGGATATGATTGTTGTGCTTTTGTAATATACCTGTTCGTAAATTTATTTCCCATATTCTGAGCTTTCCAGCTTTTCAAAGGAGAATAAATATTAAGTGTCTGGCTAGAACTCTGACCTCTTTGCAGAGCACAAACCTGGAGCTGAAGCGCCCCCACCTCCCCACTCACTCCCACGGTTAACACAATATTAAACCTGAAAAGTACATGTTATAAAAAGAATGGAAAGTAAAAAGTATGTGTTTGGGAAGTTTTCTGGAAACTAAAGAGCTAAGAATTCTTAAAGGATCTGGACAGCTGTGTTTTCATACTTCAGTTTGATTCATGGATTTTTAATGTAAAAGCTTTTACATAAAAACATTAAAATCCCCTTCTCAGGAGTGAGAAAATGTTCCCGTTCTCCCAACTGACCATTTGAAAAAAAGAGTTAAAAAATACATTCTATAGAAAGTGTCTGTAAACAGAGTAATTTTTCTTTCGCGTAAGATTGGTTCTTGAGGAAATGCTGTGTTTCAAAGTCAGGGTTGATGAACTTTGCGTATGATGGAAAATGAGAATGGGAACCACAGGTGTCATTTGGTGGTTTTGTTTTACAAAGTCTTCACCTTTCTCCTGAATCACAGGACCAAGTTCAACAAAATTTCTACTTTCTACCTTTCTTTGGAATAGTAGTTTTGGAAGCCAAGTATTAGTATATGATAGCAGGTGTGTTTTCTAAAGATTCAGGATCAGCGGGCTGAATGTACTTTTGTGACTTCATTAGACCATTGAGCCGAGGAGAAAAGTGCCAGTCTTACCAGGCACGAGGAAAAAGGCCCATCTTTTGCTTTTGCTGGAAGTGGTGTCCTGCTTTCTACAAGCAGGCATCCTCTGCCTTATACTTACCTTGTTCATTTTATGTGTGATATTTTATTCTCTGCCTAATAGGTATCAAAGTATCAAAATGTCAAGCATGATTTTCTAATCTGGATAAATTTTACAAGTTTTTATTCATCTACTTCTAAAAGGAATGAAAAGACAATGAATTGCTCAAGGTCAGGAGACGACAGATCTAGCACCATGAAGAGCTGGATTCTCCCCTAAATGTTTGTTTCTGTTGCTTGCTTCAAACCAGGTTTGCAAGAAAGCAGCAGAAACCCCCCACACATCCACCTATATACACACACACACACACACACACACACACACACACACACACACACAGTCTGTCTGTCTGTCTTTGCAGAGCCTTGGAATGAAAGAAGGAGGGAGCTGTGTACTAATGACGCCATGGTTGTATCTTGCTCCATTACAGTGAGGGAGCTGAAAGGGCCCATTCTCTTCACGGCCTGGAGTCAGAGACTGAAACCTAATCTGAAGTGTGTTTAAGGAGAGTTCTGAACGCTGGGACTTAGTGCAGAGGGGAACAAGGAGACAGTGTGTCCTCAGGGGCAGCGTGGCCGCCCCTAGAGCCCTGGCAAGCGGGAAGAATCGCAGCATTTGTGGGCAGAACCGATGAGCAGGCCTAAACATTTAGCTACTTTGCCCCAGAATGAAAGCCTTGTTTAGCTCCCGAGGGTTTGGGTTCAAAGTTTGAAGTTCCTGTCAGTGGTGAGCACAGTTTCCTGACAAGGGTGCCGTCGGTCTGCTGTTCAGCTTTTGAGTCATTTAATTTTTCCTCCTGCAGCCTTCTCCTCCTCCACATCATTGCCATTGTCATCAGGAATGCCCATTAGAGCTCACCTGGGCTGGATGTTGTTCTAAGGGCATGGGGCATACTAAATCAGTTAATCCTTAAAGCGACCACAGAATGGTTCAGTCTTTAGGTCCATTTTATGTAAGAGGAAACTGAGGCACAAGTAGTAGCTTGCCTCCAGTGACTGTGACCTTGGGCACACTGTTGTCCTCCAGCCTGGAATATCCCAGTAGATAGAGCAGAACTGAGGTGCAGGTGTGCAGGCGTATTGATCCTTTCTGCCCATAGGGTAAACCCTCAGAGCCATTGCATCTGGTCTCAAGTGTCCAGATTTACTGCAAATGTTATTGCTGATGTCTGGAAAGTGAAAAAGGTAGGAGTGCCCTGTTCTGGCTTGTAATATACTTTTGATATGCACAGGAGGCAAGAGGCCAGGGTCCCTGGCAAAGGGTCTAGCCTCAAGCTTGGACCCATAGCCCTGAAAGAGAAAAGGGATTCCTGTTTTCACTCCCTAGTGTTGCTTTTTGGCCCACCCTGGAGGATGGCCCCCATTCTGTCCCATATAAACCCTAGACCTCAGCTGGCAGAAGGACAAGCAGCTGGACATTGACAGGAGAAGAAGCAACTGAGCATCAGAGACTACACATAAATGCAGCTTAACTTCAGACCTCACGACTTTGGAGAGGAGTTCGCTGGAGATGGCCTGGTTTCAGGCAAAGATCACCTTCTTTACACACCATCCCCTTTCCAGCTCCCCTTCTGCTGAGAGCCACTTCCACTGCTTAATAAAACCTCCACATTCACTATCCATTCAAGTCCCTGTGACCTTATTCTTCCTGGATGCGGAACAAGAACCTGAGTACTAAAAGGGCAGGGTGTAAGGGGATGTCATCCTGACTCTCCACTGAGCTGGCTTACATTTGGATGTCCTCAGACGGCAACTGCCCAAAGAGCATTAACTATATAATACACCCCCAGAGACAACCATGCAGCTGGAGCCCAAAAGCTGCTTGTCCTGGCCTCGACACCCACTCACAAGGAGTGGGAGCATGGCTGCAGAGTAAGCAGGCCACTGCGCTGTGGCAAGTCCCCAAAAGGGGTCCAGGGAATTCTCCTGTCTCACTTTCACTAAGCCCTGAGCCGTTCTGATTTTTTTTTTCTCTTTGCTTTTCTCTCTTACAACTTTTACGATCTTCCTTTCATTCCTTGTCTTTCAGATTTCCCAATAATTTGCCTTGAGAGCTTTACTCATTCATTCTGTGAGACACTCTCTGGCTCTTTTCAATCTGAAAGGTTCTGGAAATTTTTCTTATCTTATTCTTGCCTAATTTCCTTTCCTCTGGGGTCTCTCTGTCCAGAAGTCATGTTATTCAGATGTTGAAACTCTTGCCCTGTGGCTCTAAATGTTTTATATCTTCTCTTCTTTCTCATCTCTTCACCTTCAGGCCTAGCTTCTAGGGGAGTTCTCAGCTTTATCTTTAAAGTCTTCCTAGTGAAATTTTTATTTCTCTTATGTTACTTTTTTATTTCTAAGAGCTCTTTCTTGTTATTCATGTGTTCCTTTTTATAACTTTCTGTGTTTTGCTTAAAGTTATAAACTCTTAGCTATGTATGTGGGTACAAATTACAGTATTTCTAAAAGCTTTCCCCCTACTCCTGCATTATTGGAGGTACCTGGCATCTCCCATTTCCTTGGGGGCACTCTGCATAATGTGACCACCTCCTGGTGCTGACTCTTCCTCCTCTCCTCTGTAACTAGATTTCTCCTTTCTTCTTGGTCACCTTTCACAGTTTTCAGGAACTCCATCACCTCCTGTCTCCTCTTTCATTTGCTCTGGTTTCCATGAATTTATTCCTTTCCCCCCTTTTAATTATTATTGATTTTTTTTTTTAGATAGGTTCTCACTTTGTCCAGGCTGGAGTGAGATGGCATGATTATAGCACTGCAGCCTCTAGCTCCCAGGCTCAGGTGATCTTTCCTCCTCAGCCCCTGCTAATTTTATTTTATTTTTGTAGAGATGGGGTCTCCCTATGTTTCCCAGGCTAGTCGCAAACTCCTGGCCTCAAGTGATCCTCCCACCTTGGCCTCCTAAAGTGCTGGGATTATAGGCATGAGCCACTGTGGCCTTTCCTTTTTAATTGTTTCAATGTTGTTGCAGTGAGCTTTCCGGATGCAGTGGAGGTAAGCTCCTGTGTGTCGTCTGCCACGTTTAGCCACAATCTGACACTTGTCTCCTGGTTTGTACTAAGCCCTGTCTGGCAGTGGCCTTGTACTAATCTTTCTAGGAAAAACATGCATTTCCGGACAGATAAGCAAGTTCCTGTGGAATTTCTCAAACTGTGCTCTCGTTGACAGATTTTCACATAAGCCTGGGAGTTAGGAAGGGCAGGGCTGAGGTAGAGGCTGTCCTGGGTGCGCAGCTGGGACTTGGTGTGATTCTGGGCCTGGCATATGGCCCCCCCACCTCACCAGCTGAGTTCCAAGGCGACTACAGGCAGCGACCTTCTGGGGACTCTGCCACAGGGACTTAGTCCTGTGGCATGCTGCTGTACTAACAGACTTCACTCAGGATGTTGCAGACACACGCCTTTGGGGTTAGGAAGTGGGACCTCCTTCCAGTGTCAACTCATCCCCTGTCATTCATTCTGTAAGTCTGCATTTCCCTTCACTGTCATGGTGGCAGCAATAATCATAGAGAATGTGTGTCATGGGCCAGGCCCTTTGCTAGGTACTCTGTGGTCATGGTTTCATTGAATTCCCACGCCAGTCCTAAAAGGGAAATAATAGCATCAAATAGCATTTCTAGCCCTTTCATAACTATAGTGTGCTGTGGGGAGTACAATTTAGTACTCCCCATCCCTAATTAATTTCTTGATGCCCTCCCCAAATACAGTGTGGCTGTATTTGGAGTAAGGAAGTACAGTAATTAAGGTAAAATGAGGTCCTGAGGATGGAGCTCTGATGTGATAGAACTAGTGACCTTGGGAGAGAGAAGTGATACCGGAGAACTCTTGCTTGCTGTCACTTAGCATGTGAGGACACAATGAGAAGGTGGCTGTCTGCAAGCCAGGCAGGGAGCCCTCAGAGAACTAGATCAGCTTATACCTTGAGTGTAGACTTCACACTCTCCAGAAGTGTGAAAACATCAATTTCTGTTGTCTAAGCCACCCAACGCATTAGTGTTTGGTTATGTCCACCTGAGCAGACACAGACATAAGTCCTCATGTTTCCATCTGTGTTTACCTAGCCAACTCCTACTCATCCTTCAAGACCCATTCAGATGGGCTGCTTCTAAAACACATTAGGCATTCCACTCTCAAAGAACTCCCCCATCAGGGAGAATAGCCAGTCACACTCTTCCCTGAGCTGCTATGGCCTTCATTAGTTCCTCTAACTTGCCACTTACCACGTACTCCAATTTAGCAGGTTATTTGTGCACATCACCAATGGGATTAGTCCATTTTCACACTGCTAATAAAGACATAATATGAGAAAGAGGCTTAATGGACTCAGAGTTCCACATGGCTGGGGAGGCCTTACAATCTTGACAGAAGGCAACGGAGGAGCAAGTCATGTCTTACATGGATGGCAGCAGGCAAAGAGAGAGCTTGTGCAGAAAAACTTCTCCCTATAAAACCATCAGATCTTGTGAGACTTACTATCGTGAGAACAGCATGGGAAAGACCTCCCATGATTCAATCACTTCCCACAGGGTTTCTCCCACACACATGGGAATTGTGGGAGCTACAATTCAAGATGAGATTTGGGTGAGGACATAGGCAAACCGTATCACTGACCCAAAGAGAGATGCTCATCTTGTGCTTTTCTTTCTCTCTGCCTAGCATAGTGACCACACACTGCAGCTTGCTTGATAAATACACCCCAGCCTCCTCAGGCAGTCATAGTTATTCATACTTCTGCCCACCTGGTCCAAATCTGCCAAAGGGCTATAAGAAAATCTGTGACACTGTGGTGCCCTAGGATGAGATGGGTCAAAGGTTAGTGAGTTACAGGATTTTGAACAATATTTAAAGGTATAAATGGTAGGGAGAAGAACACAAGGCCTTTGAGAGAAGCCATTTCCTTCTACTGAGTGAGAGAATGCCTTGGTTGTCATGGTTACACTAAATCCCAAAACAGCACAAACAAAGCACTTCTAGAAATGGCTCTCTGTAGCCCCAGCAGATGCAAACCTTGTAAACCTGGTCAAACATTATCCAATTCTGTCTATGAGATGCTTTCCAGAAGGTAGTACGTTAGCTGTCTCAGGTAGG